GTAACTCTGCGCTACAGAGTGCCATCAAGCCCACACGCGTGCATTTTTCCCTTTCTGGTATATTTGCTGGTCACGTATATCTCTTTATTGGCGAATTTCCCCATTGTCCTTCCCTTTCCAAGCACTCTTAATCCATTGTTTGCCCCGGTGGTTGCACAAGGTCGTCTCGGGTTTTCATTTGCTCTTGTTTATGGCCTTTTTGTTTGTTTGTTGCCGGTGTGCTTAAAAGCCCTTTCGTGGTTTCATTCAATCCTTGTTAAAGGTAACCCAATCAAAACCCAGTAGCGTTTTTTCAGACTGTTTTAATGAAGTGGGGAAATGCTCGCACTTCGTTATGGTCATGACTTTTGAAAAACTGTCAGCAAGAAGTAGGTTCACCCGACCCCATCCCAGTTTTCACAACAAAGGTTGACGTGGGTATTTAAGAACTCTCAAAATACCTGTTCACCGTCACGCCTGATCATCTCTGTGGTATCCCACTAACTGTTTAAGGAACGCAGCGGATCCATATGCACTGATTGGGCAATTGTCCTACCTACATGGTCGAGTTAAAAAAAAAAAAAAAAAGCCAGTTCCAGAGTCACTAGGTTATTGTGTGGACATCACGATTTTATCAACAACACAACACATCCATGCATGGGTATACATGCATCAAAAAAATGCTGGGGCAGGAGGCCGGGCATGGTTTTTCTTTTCTTTCTTTTTCTGTTTTCTAGTCTTTTTTTTTTTTTTTGAGGCTAAGCCTCACTCTGTCTTCCAGGCTGATGATCTCAGCTCACTGCTATCTCTTCCTCCCAGGTTCAAGCGATTCTCTTGCCTCAGCCTCCTGAGTAGCTGGGACTATAGGCGCGGGACGCCACGCCTGGCTAATTTTTGTATTTTTAGTAGAGACAGGGTTTCACCATGTTGGCCAAGCTGGTCTGGAACTCCTGACCTCAGGTAATCCACTTGCCTCGGCCTCCCAAATTGCCAAGATTATAGACGTGAGCCACTGCGCCCCAGCCGGGTGCGGTATTTCATGCCTGCAATCTCGGCATTTTGGGAGGCCGAGATGGGAGGATCACTTAAGGCTGGGCCTAGACAACATAGCAAGGTCCTCGTCTCTACAAAAAATAAAATACATTAGTGGGGTGTGGTAGCATATGCCTCTAGTCCCAGCTACTCAGGAGGCTGAGGTGGGAGGATCGCTTGAGCCCAGGAGTTCGTTATTACTGTAAGCTATGATCCTGCCACTCTACGATGGGGTGAGATGGAATGAGACTGCCTCTACTACAAAAAGGAAAAAGCCAGGGCAGATATATCAAATTGTTTCATATTGTTCTGGTTAAGACAATGGGAGACTTAAACTTTTTACTCCGCTGTATATGTATGTATATCCAAATGTATGTCTATACATATTCCTTGTATAATACAATGAAAAAAATTAGTAATATTTGAAAAAGAAAGGACCACAGAAATATAGACTTAAGCCACATAGAAACCCATTCATTTGCAGACCCTATTGCTTCCAGCCATTTCTGAAACCTCTCCTTGGCCTCATCTCGTTTACTTTTTAACATTTTGTTTGTAAATAATTATAGACTCACAGGAAATTTCAAAAATAATGCCAAAAAAGACCTTGTGCCTTTTATCCAGCTTGCCTCAACAGTAACATTTTTTGTTGATGTAATATAATATCAAAATCAGGAATTGAAATTGATACATTACTGTTCAGCAGACTACAGGCCTGATTTCGCTTGGAATATTTTTTTAAACCTTCATTAATGTGTGGGTGTGCACATGTATAGTCCTAACAATTTTACGCCATCTAAAGATTTGTGTAACCACAACTACAATGAAGATACAAAAATATTCCATTTCCCAAAAAAAAAAAACCTCCTTTGGCTTACCTCTTTGCACTCACTTTCAGCCACTCTGCACATATTATGTTAGATTTATTTCATCCTCTTTGGAGTGACTGCTAGTGGTATTGTGAATTTGATTACATGTCAAACATTTGGTTTCCATGTGTTCATTGTTAATTTATAGAACTGCAACTAATATTTTAATTACATTATTAATCTTGAAATAATTGTAGATTTACATGCAATTTTAGGAAAAAATACAGAGATCCCATGTTCCCTTTAACCAGTCCCACTGGTTAATATCTTTCAAAACTATAGTACAGTAACATAACCAGGATATTGATATTGACACAATCCATCTATCCTATTCAGAATTCCCTCAAGCTGCCCTTTTTTGACCAAATCTGCTTCCATCCCGCTCTCCCTCCTTAATGACTGGCAACCACTAATGTGTTGTCTATTTCTGTAATTTTATCATTTCAAGAATGTTAAACAAATGGAACCATATAGCATTGCAACCTTTGGGAATTGACTTTTTTCACTCAATACCATTCTCTAGAGAGTCATCCAAGTTGTAGGGGGTGTGAAGTGTCAATAGTTCTTGATTTCTTTTTGCTGCTGAGTAGTACTGCTTGGTATGGTTGTACCACCGTTTGTCTAAACATTCACTCAGGGTATTCCCAGTTTTGGCGATTAGAAATAAAGCTGCTATGAATACTAATTTACAGCTTATTGTGTGAAGATAAATGTCCATTTCTCTGGGATAAGTGTCTAAGTGTGATTTGCTAGGTCATAAGGTGCATGTTAGGTTTTGTAAGACTCTACCAAACTGTTTCCTGAGTGTCTCTAGCATTTTATATTCCCACCAGTAATTTATGAGTATGTTGATTCTCTGCATCCTTGCCAGCATTTGATGTTATCACTGTTTTTTATTTTAAACATT